GTTTGTTCTCTTCAACTCCTCGCAATAATCCCATAGTACTCTGTAATGCTCAATCACACTACCTCGAATTTTTTCAAGTGCTTTCTCCTTTGCTCTGTACACTTGCCAAGGGGAGATATCACCCAAACCATCCTTTTTCACCCTCTCCATGAATGTACTAACTGACATGTTTGGTTCAGCCCTCCAATCGGATAAGTACCTATCAGCCAGGTAGGTTGAGCTCACTCTGAAGTTCCTATACACCATAGGGCAAGTATGCTCTTCGATAAAAGTTTTAATCACAAAGCTTGTCTTGTTATGCTCTTTTGTAGCATATAACAACCATGGACAATCCCCCTTACATATGGCTCTCAGTCTGTATGAATCATCCTTCTTGTATTTGATCTCTCGATTTTTATTAACTGAATGTGCAGTGATTGCAGCCTTCAAGATAGCCTTCGACTCGAATACCAAACCTGCATGATAAAAAAATATTAGGGCCTTTGATTCTATAAAATAAATTACAAAATACATTTAATTTGTAGTAAAGAAAATCTTCAACCAACCTATTCTAAACTCTGGATCCTCCATATCTGTCCTCACATTGAAAGCATCAGTAAAAGCTCTGTTTCTTGAAGTTGTACACTCATCTTCACTTTGAATGCTTTTTAACTCATCGGAGTCTCCATAATCAGTATCTGAATCCCTAACTTGCTGCGTATCTGATACACCAAATCTGAAATCAAAATTAACCCGTTGACTACCTGCTTCACCAGTAGCTACTGGCTCATGCTCCATCTCGTAATCAGATTCTATCAACCTTTCAACTTCCTCTCCCCCACTTTGCTCTTCATTGACATCTTCAACTACAACTTCCTCCACTCCCTCACTCATATCACCGACATTTGGATTCGCATCATAGTGATATTGTAAACTTTCCTCATACTGTGCCCACAACTCTTCAGCATTGTCCTCAAAAAATTGATCTGACCAAGCAACTTCAGGCTCCGCTCCTTCGTTCTCTTCAACAATTGGTACATAACAACCTTCCAATGGTTGGTCATCATCAACTTCATTCGCATGCAACGGCAATGCATATGATTGCATTGGGGCTATGACATATATGTGTAATGTTGAATGGCCCTCCCTATTCTTAAGCATTTCCTCAATATCCCTTGTACTCTCCAATTTCGTCAACCCCTTTCCCAAACTCATCCTTTGCTTCTTATAATAAAACTCCAACAATATTTCATCACCAATTGCACGTAAGAATTTCATCAAATTCTCTTTCGTAAACAACGCAGCACAAAAGAAATCAATAAAAACCACATAGCCCCCTTCGTACACCAAATTGTTTGGTTTTTCATAAAATTTGCCGCCGTAGTGTAATTCAACGGTGAAATATGGAGAATTAGCACCTGCATGCAAATGGTAGGGAATTAGAAAACCAATATCAAGTAATAAATTGGGGAGTTTTGGGAGAAATTAATGCAGGCAGAAATGTATAGATGTAAGACTATACCATAAATGGGTGGACTGTCTCCAAGATCTCTCAAAATCGGAGGTAACATGTTGCTCATGGAAGGAGCATATACCTGCCATTGGCCATATGTAAGAAATTTTAACCCATATGCTCACAAAAATACTTTTTTTTCAAAATCTCTTCACATATTCACAAATCACAATAACTTGTAAGGATAAAATTGGGAATGGGTGGTAACTCACCCCTGCCTATTTCATCTCCTTCAGCGGCTTCGGGTGAAGACGGAGCAAGTTTGGCAGCTTCGGACTTCCATTCTGTAATGGGTCCTTCTCTGCCTGCATAACAATAATAAAGCAGTAGAAAATTCAATTAAAACACCAAATCATGAAAAAAGGCCGAATCCCTAACTTGAAATCATAAAAATCCAAGCCCAAACTTCTCTTACCTTCGCTCGTTTCAAATTTCCTCAAGCGTGCTTCGACTGTGCGACAACGAGGGTGATCACCGTAGAGGAAAAAAAGGTAACCGAAATGTGCACAAAATATGGTTGGGTAGGAAGAAGAAACAGCGTCGTCCCCTTCGCTTCGTCCAGAGAAAGGGTCGGTTATGCGTAAAATGAAGAGGCGGGAGAGATTACACAGTGTAGAAAATGTTGATGGACGATATTACCCCTGCATTTTAAAAAGAAAAGATCCATTTTATTTGATTTAACGGAACATTTTAATGGTGAATTGACAGAAGGACGTTCTGCGCAAAAAATGGTAAAGGTAGGGACGTTATCCACAAAAACCTCCAAAGGTAGGGACGTTTTGTGCTAATCACCCTTATAATAATATAAATTAATTGAATGAGTGGGAAAAAATGACAAAAATAAAAAATAACTCATTATACTAATTAATCTCTTACAAGGTATGTCTCCAATGCAACCATGAATTGCTTTAAAAGTTATCTCATACAAGCAAAATAGAGAGTATTTTAAAAATAGTTATCTAGTGTAACTGATAGAGATTTCGTCAAGAAAATTGACAAATCAAAAGACTTTCAATCTATACGACATTGATATCTAATAAATCGATGCTCAAGTTTAAGATTGATTTCAAATGCAATCTATTTTTTTTTATCTAGGTACTTTTTACCTTTTTTAAATAATAACAAAGTCACATTTAAATTTGCATGTCAAATGGAGCATATAAATCTGGACTGAGCTCTAAAAATAAATATTTTTCTTACAATCTCGACGCCTGTTAACTTGCATTGAAGATGAATTTTTCTATTTTATTTATATGGCACAATTTTTTAAGTAATCTAGGATTGCATTGGAAATACACTTACGGGGTTTTTTGGTTGGTTGGATGAGTCTATTTGTACTTTTGTCTCATATTTTTAAAATTTATCTTTTTACTTGTTTTATTTATTTATTAAAGTATGACATTAGAATCTTTATATCAAAAGTTTGATCAATTTTAATGGTCAGTTGGATGAAAATCATCTATAATGATTAACTGCACCCATTAAGTGAAATACTAGGAATGTTTGTGCTAAATTTCAAAAGTTAGGGAGCATTTAATCAACAATCATAGGTTAGGGACCATATGGGCAGCAATTCCATAGTTAGGGACCATTCACAACAAATTTTCATATATTTACATACACATCAAATTATATTTTCATTTTGTTTTGAACATATTTTATCAAGTATAGAATTTGACAATGACTTGTATTAGAGCATCTTCAATGGGTAAATTTGAAAAATTTAAAAAAAAAAAAAGTTGTCACATCACCAAAAGGGGAATTGTTCATAACAATTCTTCTTCAATGCATGATGAGATGGACTTAGGATTGCACATGGTCCGATTCTTCCATTCGATTCAGTTCGATTTGGTTCTCAGGTTACGTATTATAATCAAATTTTTAATATTAATAAAGTTACATTAATTCAACTATAAAATAACTTAGTCCAATCTTATGTGTCTTTTGCGTCTTTCTTTATTGAGTTTTTCATAAATTTAATTGTTAAAATAACAGAAAGTGGAAGATAGCGAGCTCAAAATAATTAAGAAAGGTTTTGTCGAATTTTAATTCGATTTCACCTGAACAGTAAAAATGACACTACAGTAGAGTAACGAATTAGGATAAAACTTAGGTCAATTTGATTAAGTTGGTTTGGATTGAAAATTAGAAATAGAAAAATCATATTTTT